AAAAAAATGCTGATTTTTTGGATCCTGCCCTCTAGAGATATGATTTTAAATGGTTTGGAAAAGGCCTTGATGCTGGAATTTTAGAAAGCTATCCCCAATGATTATAACATGGAGGCAAATACAGAATAAAAGCAGGAGACTTTAAGCTTCATAGAGACAGGGATTGTGTCTTGTTCACTTCTGTATTGCCAGACTCTACAAATGTGCCAGGTATATACAGTATACTAGTAAATAATTGTTGCTCCTAGTTTCTCAGGAATGTACAATCAGTTTTGCCTTGTACACACCATCTTACCTTATCTACAAACCTAACTAACATGTTAGCCACTGAGGAACCTATTTATCTAATTGAAACAAAAGAGCCATTTCTTGAGGAAAAGAACTTGAGTTAGCATTTGAAGTACATCTCTAACCACCCCTGTCTTCTGTTCTTGAGCCAGTTTGATGTTAATAAAACAAAGCACGTTTATATAATTGGATGCTAATAGGCACATTGTATTGAAACACTGTTTCCATGCAACAGTTTTAGGAAGCAAAGTCACTAATTTTTTTTGTTTATAAACTTCTTGGGTCCTGAGAATTCAAAATAGTGAGGAGGTTGATGAGATCAACACAACTATAACCATAGTTTTATGGGAGGTTACAAAATGCATTTTGTGTGTGTGTGTGTGTGGGGGGGGATTTCTTAAGTTTATACATGATTTCCTTACATGTAAAGTGACCTTTAAAAATAAAACGATTGATAATATACTTGTATAGTGCTTTACATAATGTGATGGCCCTATATAAATTTCATTAAATATCTTTTATTTGATACCAATTGTGCATGATATTTATTCTAGAGAATAAATGCTGTAACTTCTTCCTGTCCTGAAGGAGTTTGCAATCTGTAGAGAAATGAAACAAAACACACAAAAGAGTCCTGAAACTAGACCTCATGAAAAAGCTTACACAGATCACTGCAAGGAATGATAGACAGCACAGGGTTAACACACCCCACAAAATTCACATTCGAGGGCATGTTTCTTATTTCATAGTAACAAGTCTAAGGAAGAAATAAAAGATGCTTTATGTAGCTGCTGTTTTCAAAGCACAGTTCTTATTGAAAAAATCCTAAGTTCCATTCAATAAGTTTCTTCTTAAATCTGGTAACATAAAAATTCAATGGGCTTGTCAGGATTTGGAGAGGGTGCAGAGGGAAGAAGCACCTTCCACTTCTCACCGCAGGGCCCCTGAGAACCACAATTTGGCCTTGAGTCCCAATCCTCCCTCTGCGAGAAAACTGTTCAAGCTTTAGACACTTACAATAGGGTCCAACAATTAGAATGTTTATCTATGCAAAGTTTTTAAAAATCATATTCTCAGTGAGGAAGAGCAAACTCCCAATTGTTCAGGTGCCAAGGTATCTGTCATCAGTTGCTCTGAAACCATGTTGACTGGCAGGATTCCTACGGCATCAGAGCACTGTCACTTTCACTATATAAAAGCTTAACCATAAAGGTTAATTTTCCTTTCTTTCTAAGACTCCTTATAATTAATATCCATTTTGAGGATTTTTGGGTAGAATATTTGCTTGTGGTCTGAAATGATTTGTGGAAAGATAGCTGGAACATTTACGGTTTGAGTGTAGGTTGTGGCCTAAATATTTCCATTCTGTATCAATTGAACTAAACAGATAATTCAGTTGATTTGAGATAGATCAAACTATCTATTGATTAATATCTATTTGTTGATGAATAAAACATACAAACTGCTATAATTTGATCTGATATGCACCCTGAAGGCCTTTGTATTAAAGGCTTCGTCCCTAAACATGGCACTAAAGGGAGGTGGTGGAACCATTAAGGGGGGGCTACCTGGAGAAAGTTAGGTCATTGAAAGTGTGCTCTTAAAGGGAATGTTAAAACCCTTCCCACTTCTTCTCTCTCTTTGCCACCCAGGTGCCTTGAAGTGATCATGCCAAGTGTTTCCATCACAATGAGTTGCCTCCCAATAAGACTGACAGCAATGGAGTCAACTGATTATTGACTGAAACTTATTTTTTTTGAGATGATATTATTTTTAATTTTTAAAATTTGTTCTAATTAGTTATACATAACAGCAGAATGCATTTCAATTCATTGTACACAAATGGAACACAACTTTTCATTTCTCTGGTTGTACACCATATAGAGTTGCACCACATGTGCAGTCATACATGTATGTAAGGTAATGATGTTTGTCTTATTCCACCATCTTTCCTACCCCAAGCCTCCTCCCCTTCCATCCATCTCCTTGGCCCAAAGTTCCTTCATTCGCCCCATGCCCTGCCACCCCATTATGGATCAGCATCCACTTATCAGAGAGAACATTTGGCTTTTGTTTTTTTTGGGATTGACTTACTTTGCTTAGCATGATATTCTCCACCTCCATCCATTTACCTGCAAATGCCATAATTTTATTCTCTTTTAATGCTGAGTAATATTCCATTGTGTATATATACCACAGTTTGTGTATCCATTCATCATCTATTGAAGGGCATCTAGGTTGGTTCCACAGTTTAGCTGTTGTGCATTGTGCAGTATAAACATTGACGGGGCTGTGTCCCTATAGTATGCTGTTTTTAAGTCCTTTGGGTATAGACTGGAGAGTGGGATAGCTGGGTCAAATGGTGGTTCCATTCCAAGTTTTCTAAGGAATCTTCATAGTGCTTTCCAGGTTGGTTGCACCAATTTGCAGTCCCACTATCAAAGAATGAGCATGCCTTTTCCTTCACATCCTTGCCAACACTTATTGTTATTTGTATTCTTGATAATTGCCATTCTCACTGACATGAGAGATGAAATCTAGAGTATTTGTGATTTGCATTTCCCTAATTGCTAGAGATGCTGAACATTTTTTTCATATATTTGTTGACTGATTTTATATCTTCTGATAAGTGTCTGTTAAGGTCCTTCGTACAAGTTTTTTGAGTTCTTTATATATCTTGGAGATTAGTGCTCTATCTGATGTGCGTGTGGCAAAAAATTGCTCCCAAAATGTTAGCTCTCTCTTCACCTCATTGATTGTTTCTTTTGTTGATAGGACACTTTTTAGTTTGAATCCATCCCATTTATTAATTCTTGATTTTATTTCTTGTGCTTTAGGAGTCTTGTTAAGGAAGTCAGGGCCTAATCTGATGTGATACAGATTTGGGCCTACTTTTTCTTCTATTAGGCTTAGGGTCTCTGGTCTAATTCCTAGGTCCTTGGTCCATTTGAGTTTTGTGCATGGTGAGAGATAGGGGTTAGTTTCATTTTCCAATTTTCCCAGGACCATTTGTTGAAGAAGCTATCTTTTCTTCAATGAATGTTTTTAGCGCCTTTGTCTAGAATGAGATAACTGTATTTATATAGGTTTGTCTCTGTGTCTTCTATTCTAACATTGGTCTACATTTGACTGAAACTTCTGAAACTATGAGCCAAAATGAATCTTACTCATTATAAGTTTATCTCAGGTATTTTTCTCATAGGCAAAGAAAGCTAACACACCAACTAAACTAAATAAAAAAGTAATAGATCCACAATAATATGTGGTTCTATATAACTTATGTGCTTTAATATTTTGCAAAAAGCTTGAGGCAAAACTTAAAAACTAGGGAAGAGGGCTGGGATTGTGGCTCAGCGGTAGAGTGCTCACCTACCACTGAATTACAACCTCAGCCTATGACAGATTCTTAAACATTATAATTGTCTTAGTCTCATAATTTGGAGACAGCTAATCTCTGAGTATTAAAAAGAGACACTTAAAATGTCTTTATAATTAAAACATTAAAGTATAAAAACCTATGCTGTCTGTTGCTATAGGGTTCTATGACAGAAAATTAAAATCCAGGATATTATTGGCCTTTAGGTATTAATATTCCTATTTTTGACAGTCAAAGATTAAGAATCACATGGACACCAGTTTCATCTACTGGGATACCTGTAATTTTAAAAAGGAAAATAACAAGTGTTTGTGAAGATATGGAGAAACTAAAACTTTTGTACATTGCTAGTGGGAATGTAACAGGTACACATTGAAAAGTTTGAGGGTTTCTCAAAAAATTAAAACAGAATTAACATTTGACCCAGTAATGCCACTCTTACGTACTTCTCTACAATAACTGAAAACAAGGACTCCAACAGATACCTGCACATAGCTGTTTAGAGCAACATTACTCACAGTAGTCAAAAGGTGGAAATAACCCAAGTGTTCACCAACAGATGAATGGATTTAGAAAGTGTGGTATATCATACAATGGAATACAAGTAGACATAGAAAGGCATAAAGTTCGGATACATGTTGTAACATGAATGAACCTTTAAAATGTTATGCTAAGGCTGGGTTGTAGCTCAGTGGTAGAGCACTTGCGTCATACACGTGAGGCACTGGGTCAATCCTCAGCACTACATAAAAGTAAATAAATAAAATAAAGGTGTCGTATCCATCCACAACTAAAAAACTAAAAAAAAAAAAACATTATGCTAAGTGAAATAAGTCAGACACAAAAGACTAAATATATGATTTTACTTATAAAGAATATTTAGAATAGGTAAATTCATAGAAATAGCAGACTGGCAGGTATTAGGGACTGGGGCTGAGGAAATGGAGAGCTCTTAATTAATGGGTACAGAGTTTTGCTGGAGGGATGAAAAATTTTGGAAATAGTGATGATGGTTGTACATTATTGTGAATATAACTAATACAAATGAGATGGTGAAAATGGCAAATCTTATGTTACATATATTTTACCACAATTAAAAAGTTTCAACTCACATTTGCAACATGACCTATTTCCTGTTTCCTTGGAGATCTTTTAATATTCATAGATCTAACTATCGTACAACCTAATGTCACCTAATGTTTCTCTAATATAAGGAGTGTAGGATATAAAGGCAGAGGGTATAGCTCTAGTGGTATAAATCAAGTCCATGTTTAAGTATCTAGAATTTAAATTTCCACTTGCGAATTTAGGTTTTGCGTCTTTCCTGCAGAAGAATCATCACTGAATGCTGACTCAAACAGAGCAAAAATGGACTTCTTGAAAACCTTTTTGAAATTCTCCCCAATAAATAGGTAGAGTGTGGGAGAAAAGACACTGTTGAAAGAACTGGTTACCACTGTAACTATCAGACTCAAGTCTAAAAGGAGTGACTGGTTCGTCGTAGTGAGAGTTAAGCCCTGGTGTATATGGTAGGGCATCCAACACACAAAGAAAGAGATAATAGCAGTCATCATGACTTTGAAGGGCTTTCTGGATTTATACAGGCTCCTCTCTTTCATCTTACTGGCTACTCTTTTGTAACAAAAGATGATAATGAAGAAAGGTAAAAGGAAGCCCAGCAAGAAGCGGCTGATGAAACAGGTTGCATGAATCCGTCGCCTTAAAGTTTGCATCTCTTCACTTTCCCAGTTAGCCGACACAGCATAGTTATTTCTGCAGGTCACCTTTCCATTCTGGTCATGATGTGTCTCCCTGAAAACCAAATAAGGTGAGCTGAGGGCAGTAGCAGATATCCAGACTCCCAGGATAATGTTGGAAGCAAAGCGTGGGTTTCGGTGCTTCTGGGACCACACTGGGTGAAGAGTGAGAAGATAACGATCCAGACTGATGACAGAGAGGAAGAAAACAGAGGCGAACATCCCCAGAGACAAAGTGCTATTGAAGACCTTACACAATGCTGTTCCAAAGATCCAGTAATGGTCCTGAAGATAGTAGATGCCCAAAAATGGCAGAGTCAATATCGAAATAAAATATGAGAAAATGAGATGAAAAAACCAGAGGGTATTGACTGTCTTTTTCATCTTGAATTTTAGCACCCATAGATAGAGGCCGTTGGTGATGGTACCGACTATAGATGACATGAACAAAGAAAGGGCAATAATCATGTCTGAGGCAGAAGCTGAAAAGTGAGTGCTATTTCTTACTAAAATAGAAGTATTGATCAGGTCATCAGTAGAAATGATCAACTTCATAATTACCTATGGAGAAAAACAAAGCAAAATAAAATATTAAATGTAGAGATTAAAGTAGTGATTTTTGCATAGTAATAGTCCAAATGACAATATTTTAACAATGGCAAACATATTATTTCTATAATAATACAGACAAAATGTTTTTCTAAGGTGTACACTTTATGTTGTATGTAGAATTAAGATCAGATTAATCTGAGCACAAAAAACAGAAGTATTACAGATGAAATAAATGTGAAAGAGAAAAAAAGATTGGGACTTTGGAACAATTGTTAAGTAATCAATTTAGGCTAAAAAAATCTTCTATTCAGATGTTAACTGGAAGTCTGACCTTTCCTGATGGGCACAGCTTCTTGAGTAAGGCAATTCAGAGTCATTTTTACTTGACTAAGACTTGGTTGGGACAGGGACAAACGTTGCTAATGAAATAAACTTGAGTAACAAAAATAATAGCAACTGTTGCAAATTAGGGGTTGCCTAATTAGATTTCCCTTATAAGCTAACCATATTTAGTAAATACTGTTATCTAGTATTCTGATACTTGGCATATAACAGTAATCTTCATATGAGAGCTGCAGAGTACTATGAGAATGTGGAATCTTCAACCAAAGAGGTAAGTATGTTATAGGATACAAGGAGTAGTTATTTTCACTTGAGGAGAGGAGGAGGAAAAAAGTCTAGAAACTCACATTTATCTAGTGTCTGTGTTATTCCATAAAAAATCATTTCTTTTTTCTCACAAGCCTGTGAGGCAAATTTTTAAGCAGGGGGGAAAGTGAGTTTTAAAATGGCTAAAGATCTTTTATCACCCACATTTTCCACCACGCCTTTGTTGTGACAGATGGGGAACTGTACCATTGTTTTATATTGTCTGTGAAAATTGGCAATTGACAATGCTCCATGAATCAAGAGTACCTAAATATCAAAGTATCTAAACCATCAAATTTCTTGAATAACAGTTCCTGTAGTATCAAAAATATAAACCCCAAAATGTTTTGGAAATAGCTATTATAAAAGAGTCATATCAAAAATTGGTTTTTGATGAATTGGGTAAAGCAATGGAAATGACTAATGATGCATTTTTTTTTCACTAAGCAAAAACATTTTAAGATTATAAAGGGAAAAGAAATAAAATAATTGTTATATAAAAATCACAACTGACTTAAGTCAATACTGCCTTCTAAGGGACTTGTGAAATTTTCCTTTAAAATAGAAAAAAGTTCCTCTCTCAGTAAAATCCCTTAATTGTCTGCTTTGTGAATAAAACTCAAAGTCTAAAGGGTATGGAATGGATAGCAATGGAGAGTGAAAATTCAAGAAAAAGGTCATGTTAAGGTCCTGAGACCTAGAGGAGAGGGCAGGGGAGTGGGGGTGGTCTTAAGAGAGGAGGCACAGGAAGAAGCCAGCAGGAGGTTAAGAGGCCTGAAGAGAAGTCAATGAGATATTATGAGAAGCAGAAAAGACTGAGGGGGTGTAAAAATAAGAAGGTCTAATGCCCAATTTTTGTCTATTTCCTATGTTTTGATATAATATAATGTCCCTTTCCCCCATTAAGCCACAATTGTCTTGTATTGGAGGTTGTGGAGAATCAAAAGAGTTTGTGTTCCCTATTTGGAAATGGAGTGCGATGGAGAGAAAAAAGACAGCAGTAGGAGGTGAGATGTGACTGAGAGGAAGCACGCAGTGGAAATTGGATAGATATTGGGGCTTGAGTAGCCAGGGAGAAACATAATCACCTGGAGAATTTCCCAGGAGGGAGGGAGGGAGGGAAGAAG